GGGGGGGGGGGGGGGGGGGGGGGGGGGCTGGCAGACAGCAGAGCCCTTTGCACACGACCCCCCCACCCCCAGCCAAGTGTCAGGTGATCCCCCCCCCCCCCCCCCCCCCAAAACCCCCGGGGTGGGGGGGGGGGCCCCAGAGGGGGGGGGGGGGGGGGGGGGGATATGTAAAACGGGGACAGGAACTATTTCATATCGTTAGTCACACATACACATAACCAGAATTCAACCAGGACAAGTCTCATATTCTTTAAAAACAGCAAAATTATATCCAGGAAATTGAAGTTGCAACTTGTCGTGTCAGAAACTAGGACTACAACAATATTTTTTCTTAAGTTTACATCATGACATTTTAGGCAATACATGCATTGATTCCTCATTTGAATATTTATATCTATGTAAATATGTAAATATGTAATGCATCAAATACTCAGTATTTGTGTAGTATAGCTTCAGTAAAATACTTTTTTCACATCTTATATGAATTCTTATAATCTGACTGACTGGAGCCAGGGAAACCCCCCCCTGTGTCCTGGGTGGTAAAAAGCCGGTTCTGATCCGGGTCAGGACCAGACTGACACAGCCAGGTGTGTAAGTGTGAGGGTCAGAGGTCAGAGGTCAGAGGTCAGGGCTAAGGGCTCTCCGCGCCGTGTTTCACTAAAGTTTCCCTAAAAAAAAATCGTGTCCAACGCTGGCAGCCTCCCGTGAGCGGGCATTGTTCCGGAGAGGGGTGTTTAAATCCGGTCCCGGGGACTGACAGGGTCTGACAGACTTAGGCTTACAGACAGAGCTGCTAGTCATCACTCCAAAAGCCGGCGCTAAAGCTCAGCCGCTCGCTCTCAGCGCCGCGAACGCTTCTCCTCCCTGCTGCAGGTAAGTTCTGACAGCCCGACTGACAGGGCTGATGGGACAGGATTGGTGTGTGTTGATACGGGGGTGGGTGGGGGGGTTAAGCAAGGCATGTCAGTTCACCAGAAAGGAACCTGTCAAATCCAGGTTGAGAGGGAAATAAATAAGAGCACCCATGGGTGGGCAAGTACATCTGTCAGGATGCCAGTCACCTGGACAGCTAGTGGGGAGCGCTGTGTGTTTATGTGTGTGTGTTTGTGTGTTCACAAGGGCTTAGCGAGGCCCTTTAAAGGGAGCTGTTTTTTTTCTGTCAACCAGGTTTATACCTTAAATCCCCGGTGAGTGTTCAAATTGAGAGTCCTTTGCCTCTGAGATAGAGCCTGATTACACACACTAACCCACTTCCACAAACACAGGCACACTCACAGAGATGTCGCCTCTTTTGCACTTTGATGTGCCAGGCACTTCCTGCGTCAGATCAAGGAATTCAAATGACAAAAGTAAAGTGTTAAACCTGTCTGGAGGAGGCTGTGAAGGGCAGGAAGAGCCAAACAAAGCCAAACTAAGATGAACATCTCCCTGGTCGTAGAAATAAGAAGCTGTAAGGACAGAAGAAGTATCTACCAGAAATAAAGGAACAATCTTCCTACTAGATGAATGCCGATATTCTCATGCAATGCAAAGGTTATTAAAAAGGAGTGGAGCATCTCTAGCTGAATTTCTGACTCAGGTACCACTTACATAAGCAGATGCTTCCAGAAGTGAACTTCTTCTAGATGGAAATAAAGTGGAAGCAGATCAGAGCTGAATTTGCTCCTTAGTGTCCTGAGAAAACTACTAAATGCATTTATTTGTTGGTAGAGTTATCCTATCCTGCATTCCTCTACTCTAGGATTCCACTTATTGGGATAGTAGAATATGTAATTTGATATTTTTACTATTATTTGTACTACTACTATTATAGTGTGTATGAACTAGTTGCCACTTTATGTTTTTCTTGACATTTTACACAGTAACCTTTGGAACTGGGGTTGTCTCATTGCATTTCTTAGATGCTTAAGCATGTCTGTTTGATATACTTTTGAAATGATAAAAAAAAGAAAATAAACTTTTTAACTTTCCGTATTGAAAAGTTCCTCCCAGTGACCGCTGCCTGTGTCCTCCTCTCCCAGCTGCTGTGGACTACCTGGCTAAAAACGTCAGCCTGTCCGGCCAGCGCAGGATGAAGCTGGCTGACCACTCGGCCGTCCTGGGACTGCTGCAGGTGGAGACCGGCCAGGCCTACTAGTCCAGGGACTGAACGTCCAGCGGCGGACACGGTCACCAGCAGCACCCGGACCTCCCGCGGCCCCCGGGACTCCACCCAGGGAGACCCATGCCCTCTCCCACACACACGTCCCCAGATTATCCCCAGATCACGTCCACACACTCGTGATTCTGGCCGTTTCCTTTGGGTTCGGTCATTTCAGGCCTCCCCACATCCTAAGTTCAAACAATGAGTTGTTGTTATTTTTTTACATGCTTGTAAATAATTACACGTTAAATGTGACTAAAGGCAACCAAATACAGATCCAGGTCAGTTAGGGATTTTGCGAAAATCATGGGCAGACCTGCTGGTGTCCGGTCAGCTGGCCAGCTGTGTGACCGAACAAACCCAGATCTGGGTACTGATTTGACCGAGAAGACGTGTGAGGGCGCTTTGTTCTGTCAGGGTTCACACACACACACACACACACACACGCACTCAGCAACGTCTGTTTACGTGACTTACTTTATTATTTATTTACTATTTTCTATCATTTACCATAAAACTCCAATACTGTGTTATTCAGAATTTATTTTCCTTTACTTTAACTCTCACATGATCACCTATCTGTCTCAACAATGAATTGTCTAATTATTGTTTGTCGAGAAAGACATCTTTTTTTTCCTCATACAGTATTATTCCTGATACAGTAAGTTCTTTTCTCTGCTGGACAGATCTGTGTTTTCTGGCCAGCAACAGAAGACGCTGGAAGCTTAAACTCAGACAAACTAAACCCAGATTCCTCTCCCGTGTTTCCACGCACGTGTGCGCTTATGAGTGGAAGACTGACCTAATTTGCCCGTTCCTGAGGAGACAGCTCCGTTCTGCTGTTCCTCTCCCAGGTTTTTATTTCATTCTATTATCCAGCCAGCCTCTTCTGTCCGTGAGCCCCTCTCACACTACGAAGGGCTTCCAGATGGTTCTGCACTCATATTGGAAGGAACTGTGATGAGATAAAACATGTAAAAGCTATTCCAGGAGCTGGAAGAGCTGAAGGTGCTTTAAATATTTGCAGCAATACCCGCCCTTCATTCCAAAGTTTCCACAGCAGTTTCAATTCTTCAATGAAATATGCAAATTAGCAAATCATTCAAATTGACTGGTTTTCATTCAAATCAGAAAACAAATTTACGCTTAATTTCCAGGCGCTAATTTGACACTTTCTCTCGTGCAAATATTTAAACACAGATTAATGACTCTACCTGTACTTTGGTCTGTAGCAACTTTTGCATCAGGATGCATTTCGATTAGAGAGCAACCCTAAAAAAAACCTCACAATGTATACATTTACAAGAAATTACTGATGCAAACATCAACAACTCGGTTTAAGATTCCATGCTCTGCAAATCAAGTTGATCAAATAACAAATGAGCAACAGAAATACTTCAAAAGTCAAAACTGTGTGCATATTGTTAAAGCTATTTGTCATGAAGCTGTGCTTTTTTGTTGTTATTTCAGGGAGCTAGTCGTTGTTGTGTATTTATTTTCCTTTAAAGACGATGCCTTTTTACGGGAACGCTGAATGAAGGAGTTGTTTTGCACTGTGGCTGGACGCTGGTGTCCATGGACAGAAGCTCCTACTGCCTCTATAATCTGATTCTCATGTTAGTTTTCTCTTCTAAAACTACAGCCAGGAAACCCCTACCGACCCCTATTGTGCCAACTATCTACCTTGTTGATACATATCTCTGTTACATCTCCTGCCACACACACCATTTGCAGCTTTAGGTTTCCCCTCTTCCATTTCTTTACTTCATTTATTGATGTTTTGGGGAAAAATGGGAAGTTTTGCATGTGTATATTTGCTGAGTTTATCATTATTTATTATGTGTTAGTCTAGAACAAACCACACATCCAATGAGGTCGGGACTTTGCGTAAAACCTAAAGAAAAATAGACTACAATGATTTGCTCTTTTTTAAAAATCTTTTCGCAGCTAAATAAGCAGAATACTGGTCTGGTTGTTAGGGATTTGCAAATCTTTGTATTCTGTTTTTATCTATATTTTACATAATGTCCAAACTTCATCAGAATGGCAGTTTGTGAAATAAAATATATACTGACATGAATTTGATCCAGCCTCTTGCTGTGTCTAACATCTCAATGCTCAACGAATGGACCAAATAAAAAGAGTTGTGTTGATTCAATGTATTTTTTTAACCAGCTCAGCCCCGGGTCCCCCATTGGAGCAGACCTCTGGTAGCTCTCAGCTAAGTGTTTTTTTTCTGTGAGAAGCTCTGGAAGTTAACGGAAACTCTGACTGAACACACTACTTCTGAGGAAATGATCACAAAACTGAGCTGTAACAACTTTTTCCCCCTAGAACTTTAGAAATAAAAGGGAGATTAGACACAGGTAAATGGTTAGAAAACACACCAGGATCAAGATTTGTAAGTAAAGGCTTGGTTACAGAAACCTTAAATCTCTGTGGTTCATACCAACGAAGACAAGCTAATATTTTCCATTAAAGACCTGTTTGGTGTTGGTGGTTATTGGTTAACTTTAGAGGAAGCTATTGTTGTTGTTAGGGTTCTGAAGCTCCTTCTGACCCTGCTGCTACTCCTGGAGAAACCTGGGATCTTCTGATTCACTGCCGTCTCTCATAAAGATGAATTATGAGCACCTCTAACTTTATGAAAGGCTTCTTATGTTATCAAAAGGTCTTTCTAGACACAGTTAGGCTCCTTTAAATGAGAGTATTCTCTTTCCAACTTTCTTTAATTCACTTTCAAATCACGTTCTTGGTACTATACCTTTAAAGCATTTATCCAGAGTAACCTATTTATTTTTTAGACTTGACAAAAGTTACGTATTTGTACATCTTAATATGGAAAATGTCAAATATTGAATTTCACCTCAAATTCTAAATGTAATCAGCTAGTTAATAATTAAAAAAACCTAATGTGGTACATATGTGACACACACACACCATAGTGTGGAGTTTCTCATAAAAGAGTACAACATTGTTTTGATAAATCCAGTGGCTTTTTACCATGTAACAATAACGGCCCATTATTGGATATTGAGGTCCACAGAAATTGAAAAGGTTCTTTTCAGTTAGCAGTGATTGAGTGCGTTTCCTGTAGATGTTCATCCTCCCAGATAAAGGAAGGCGCGGGCTTATTCTCCACGTGGAATTCCACTGTGTCACATTCCCAACTGTCTCAATGAAAGCACTTACAAAGCCCGACATTTCCTTAAATCCTGTAATTATTCCAGGATAGATTATGTACCTGGGCCAAAGCTGTCTGAGCACTACAGTAAGGAGATTGGCCTTTCTATAGTAAGCTTAAAGGGAACATATTGTTATGACTGGCTAACAATATCTGCTTGTAAGTAGAGAACCTAAGCAGACACAAGAATAAATGGGAAATAAAATAGTAGATCCCTCTCCACTTCCTCCCTGACAGCTGTTGTTCCAATCCATCTTATTTAGCTCAGGCTTTCGCTCATAACAAAAGGAAATGACACATTCTATCTTTTTCGTACTATACCTTATCCCCACCCTCACCGACTGCCACCAGCTCCCCCTTTCATTGACTGTCAGGTCTCCTCTTAAGTCTGGCACCCAGCAGGCCTGGATGGATGAGCACTGAGCTCTGTTGTTCCACACCCTGCTCCTGCAACCCGCTCCTCACTCTCAGCCCCCCGTCTGCTCTAATCGCCTCACTTCTGTAGCGCGCCGGAATTAAGCGGGGATGAAGATGGATGTCTTACTAACCTCCTTTCTTTAAGACCGTCTCATCAATCACTCCAGTTCTCCCACAGGAAGGAGTTCGAGTCCACAGCAGAGGTGTTCGGGAAAACATTTCAGACAGCTCCTGACCTCCTCTGCACACCAAGACCCACAAAATAAGGAACTTTTTTTAACACAATTGAATAATTTATGCCCCGTTCATTATTAACTGAGTCTTAATTGCTGTTTTTTTTTGCTTTGGAACATTAAAGATAAACTGATGCTGTCTAAAAACACACAGGGGTGCATTTAAAAATGACAAAATAGACAGTTTTATACTACATACAATACTTCTTAAGCACATCTTCCGTGGCCATTGTCTATTTGTCTGTGGAGCAGCGGCTAATCTTTCTAACAGGGCCATTTGTGAGACTTAGCTCTGGCGTGTGACCACATGAGGTATTCCTGAACACCTCCTCACTGACTCTGCTCCTCAGACAGCCGGATGCAGAGAGATGGTTCAAAGAGGTTTAATTCAACACAGGGCGCACTCGCAAAGAGTGGAAACAAAGTAGACCAAAAAGATCAAAATCACTCTTACGAGGAAGGCAAAAAGGCCAAGAAACAAAGCGCCAAAATAAAACTCACTTGAGTTAAACAAAAGGACAAGGAGGATCAAAAGCAAAATCACTCTTACGAGGTTAAACAGGGGGAAAGGCTAGGTACAGGGCAAGGTAAGGCTCAGTAAAGTCATAAGACGGCAGACAAAAGGACGAAACACACTGGCAAAAGACAAGGAGAGACTATTTAAACACAAGGGAAGGGAACCCCAGGTGAACACAACTGGTGATCAGGGAAGACAAGCAGTCATGTGACCTGTGGCCTGAAACAAGGGGGATGTACCTTACAAAATAAACCAGGAAATGACAAGACAACCACGGAGACAGGACAAAAACACCAAAAACTCCCCCAGACGTGACAGGTCCATGTTATTCTGAGAGAGGGGCTGTAGTGAAGGGGGCAATTTACAAGTTTGGCCAGCGACATTCAGTAAAAACCTGAGTCTGAATACACATTAAAATCCTTTAAATGATCAAATCCTTACTCAGTTTAGGATTGCTTCTACACACACTTCTGATGCTGCATGATGGCTATATCATGAAGGACAGGATTTCTGTCACTAATGGGAGTTAAATGATTCCTGACCCACCAGGCTAAAGCGCTGACCAGAAACCTGGAGCTGTTCTTCTTCTCCTTTAATGGTTAATATTGAGCACTTCTAGCTCTACAAAGAGCCATCTTTTGTT